CATAAATAGATTAATGTCATCATCACAGGATGGGTTCATTATCCCAAAAGTAGGTTCCTTAGAAAAGGATGAGTTTGGCCCTTCTTGCCCTCTCTCCCTCTCTTTTGCAGTTTGCCCTTCCACCATGGGATGACACTACAAGAAGGTCCTTGCTTGATGTTGGTCCTTCAGCCTTGGACTTCCAAACTTCCAGAAACATGAGCCAAATCAATTTCTGTTCATTATACATTACCCAGTCTGTGTTATTCTATTATAGCAGCACAAAATTGGCTAAGAGAATGAGCTATGTCTCTTGTGTTCACCGGTGTGTTATCATCTTCTTGCAGACCAGTTGCAAGGAATAGTAGCTCACTTTATTATTGTTCAGTGACAGAATAAACAAATCAAAAAACTTGTTGATGAATGAAAAACATCTAGCAAGAAAACCTACATTGAGCTCTAACCTTGAGCAAAGTGCTATGAGAAGCAAGGGAGTAGGTAAGGGAGGAATTGTAGTGTCTTCCTAAATATTTTCAGAAAAAGTTGTCATTTCCCCCTTTGTTGTCTCACGAGTAATACTTGTATCTCCTGTATAATATACAGAAGGTCTCTTCATATAGCCCAAAGTTCAGTCAATGCACAAAGTAACCCAGCTCTATTGAGTCATTTAAAATCGAGGTCAGAAACTGTCACATGTGCATATCAAAGTCCAGAATAAGTCCCACCACAGCAACCACTCTTTTCCTTTCCCCCACTGAAAACTGATGAAAGGACTTGGGGAGAAGTACAGGAGAGACAAGGTTGGTGGATGTTCTTTTTCTCTCTCAAACTCCCCCAACTAAATTGGTTGTTGACATCTGTCTGAGTCACTAATCAATATTTAGGGTACTTATAAAAAGGAAGGGCTTGCATCAGTTTCTTCTCCTGTAGGCTGCTGAGCTGAAGAACACTCAGGTCTCCCTTAGCACGAGCCAGAAAATCTGTGCTGAACCCTGTGGAGTTGTGTCTGGTGAGTTTTGGAACATGAAGTTATGTCTGGGAAGAGGAAGTTTAGGAACATGAAGTTGTATCTGAGAAGATTTTAGCAACATGAAGTTTAGGAACATGGAGTTGTGTCTGGGAAGGGTTTAGGAACATGAAGATTTGTCTGCAAAGAGTTTAGGAATGTGAAGTTGTGCCTAGGAAAAGGAAGTTTAGGAACATGAAATTCTATCTGGGAAGAGTTTAGGAACATGAAGCTGTGTCTGGGAAGAGTTTAGAAACATACACAATATTAGAGACTGGTTCCTGATCGCAGTCTGGAGAATACCAAAGACTGGTGGAGGGTTGGTAGAGCAGCCCATGTGTGCAGAGAATGTGACATAGCGTGCCTGGGAAAAATGGGTACTGCTTATTCCAAGTCCATGAAACACTCAGGGGATGTCAGAGAAGATCCTCATGGCTTTTTGTGAAGAACAATGGGAATTCTAAGGCTTTACAAACAGCTGAAAAGTCTAACATAGATAAAGGGGTTGTACATCCTCCATGAAGGCAGGGCCACAGTGAAGCTGAATATACACTCCCGGGAAAATAATAAGCACAACATACTCAGAAACAACCACGTCAGAGTGGGATCCAGGACCCCCTTCCTGTAAATAACCATAAATACAGGTAAGAAGTATTCTTCTCCCTCCCTACTCTGCCTCACATACCAGTGGAGCTCAGACATAAATGAAACAGGAAAGGAAGTAGAGAATTTTGAACCCAAAATGTGATTGAGAATTTTAACGTCCTAACTTAAATATCTAAAATTAATCAGAAAGTTCTAGAAGATTCCCAATATGTGAATGGAGGCAAAGAAGCAGGGGAAGTACACAGTAAAATTGGAGACAGTTTGTAAAAGAAATAAAACCATCTTGTGTTTACGCTCCAATGAATCGAGGTATTTCAATAAATTGGTATGTTTCTGTTAATCATAGATTTTTTTTTTATCTTGCCTAATATGAGCTATTACATGCCTACACTCTTTCAGGGTTAAGATTCTGCCTTACTTATTTCTGTAACAGCAACCCTGTTGCTGACATATTGACTGACATTCATCAAGTACTTGTTGAAGAACTGCTGTGCACATAAATTCAAATCTCCCTTAACAAAAGGTTAAAGAAACACTCAATCATGGGAGTACAATGCCACTACTAGTGCACCTGTGCTTGGTAATTACCCTCTCAGCATGCACAGCTTTCTCTGCTACATCGTAGAAGACCTAAACTAGGAGACTTCTAATAACTTCTACCATTTACTGTGGGGTTTGCTATGTGGATGTTATCCTATTTATTCCACACAAAAACCTATGGTGGTATTATTCTTCCCATCTCACACACAGGACAATAAAAGCCTTGAGAAGACAGGGGCTTGCTTCAAGGTCATACTGCTAGTAAGAATTGAACGTGAGATTTCCCATCCCAAGTCTTTGAGATTCCAAATCCTGCTCCTATTCCACCCTCTCACATTTTTCACGGTGCCTCATCCCTGAATTTGGAATAAGATCAAGGGTAGCACACACACCCTCTACTCCATCAAACATTCACTGGCTATCCATAGGATCAATATAGTGGCCTGGTAAGTCCATAGACAGACACAGTGAGCACTTATGCCTCAAATCCAGCATCACCCTGGGGAGTTAGTTACAGGAAATTGTTTTCTTCCCTTTATTCTTCTTTTCTTTCTTCAGCAGTCAGTTCTAAGACACCTAGTATAAATATTTTCAGAAAAAGTTGTCATTTCCCCCTTTGTTGTCCCACTTGCATTTTCTCTACAGCGGAGGAAACCCTAACCCCCTAATCATCAAGGAAACACATATACGTTGAACAGCAACCTGCTGGTGGGAGATGCAGTGGGTGAAGGTGAGCAGAGGAATCAGTCCATGAAAACCCGAAGCTCTCAGCCCCATTCAGCTCTCAACCACTCAGGGAGGCCTGAGGACACAGAAAGGACCTGCAGAGGTAGGACCTGCAGAGGTAAGCCATTACTACAGTGGATGAAAACATCCCTACGATGTGGTGGAGAAAACAGTCGTTTTTCATCTGTATCAGGAATGGGGTTCTACTAAGATTGTATTTGAAATTACGCAATTGAATCCCCTGTAAGTCATCTCTGTACTCTGAGCAGACCAGTGATTTCTAAAAGTAGACCACGTAGGATGTGGTCGAACTGCCAGGATATTTTCAGGGACACTGAAACACCTCCTTGATAACCCCCTGCATAGCCTGGAGTCCAAGAGGAGAGAGTTTGAGCCCTACTCAAAATCATGTTCAGGTTAAATAACAGCTAAGAGTTGAGTGTCTCTTATGAACCATGCCCTGTTTTAAGCACTTTAATTAATTTAGTGAATCCTCCCAACAAGTCTATAAAGAAATACCCTTATTATTTCCATTTAACTCGCCGAGCAAACCGAAGAAAACAGGGCTTGAGTAACTTTCCCAGGGTCACGGTTATGGACTGATTTATGCCTCCCCCAAATTCACATGTTGAAATCCTAACCCTCAGTGTGATGGTCTTAGGAGGTGGGGCCTTTGGGAGGTGATTCAGACGTAAGGGTGAGGCCCTCATGAATGCGATTAATGCCCTTATAAAAGAGGTCTGAGGGAACTTGGTTGCTCTTTCACCCATGTGAGGATACCTTCAGAAATCAGCCATCTATAGTCGAGAAGAGCTCTGTATTAGTCAGGGTTCTCTAGAGGGACAGAAATAATAGGATACATATATAATAATAGGTTATATATATACACACACGTGTGTGTATATATACATATATGCATATATATGTGTGTGTGTGTGTGTATATATATATATATATAAAGAGGAGTTAATTAAGTATTAACTCAGCTGATCACAGGGTCCCACAATAGGCCATCTGCAAGCTGAGGAGCAAGGAGAGCCAATCCGAGTCCCAAAACTGAAGAACCTGGAGTCTGATGTTCGAGGGCAGGAAGTATCCAGCATGGCAGACAGATGTAGGCCGGCAGGCTAGGCCAGTCTAGCCTTCATATTTCTCTGCCTGCTTTATATTCTAGCCATGCGGGCAGCTGATTAGATGGTGCCCACCCAGATTAAGTGTGGGTTTGCCTTTCCCAGCCCACTGACTCAAATGTTAATCTCCTTTGGCAACACCCTCACACACAGACACACCCGGGGACAATACTTTGCATCCTTCAATCCAATCAAGTTGACACTCAGTATTAACCATCACAAGGCCCCTCACCAGAACCAACCATACTGGCACTCTGATCTCAGTTTTCCAGCCTCCAGAAAAATAAATGTTTGTCGTTTAAGCCACTGGGTCTACAGTATTTTGTTATAGTAGCTGGAATTGACTAAGACAGTCACACAGCTAGGAATTAGTGCAGCTGGGATTCGAACCATGGTGACCTCATTCCTAAGAGCTATATCATACTCAAGTGGATAATGTCTCTGCTTTGACAAGTCCTAGTTAAAATTCACGGAAACGTTATTTTCTGTGGGACTATCTATTAAGAAGTGAACTCAGAACTTGACTTGATGTTTCGGTACAGTGTGTAGCCCTGAGTAAACAATGTGTTATGAAGAAGCCCACACAGGAAATTTTGCAAGACAATCTATTTCTCCTTTTACCTTTAACTTGGATAGCTTATTTTTATTTTTATTTTTTTTTTTTTTTAAATTTATTTATTATTATTGTACTTTAAGTTGTAGGGTACATGTGCATAACGTGCAGGTTTGTTACATATGTATACTTGTGCCATGTTGGTGTGCTGCACCCATCAACTCATCATTTACATCAGGTATAACTCCCAATGCAATCCCTCCAGAAAAATGCTATCTGCCGACCTGAGAAAATAATTTAGGCAAACATTTCTACCATTCTTGTTTTAATATACTTTATCCAAAATGTGTGATATTTATAGACTACTTCAATTGGGGTAAGAAGTATTCCTGGGTTGACTTTTACACGGTGAAAATGTATGCTCTTGAGGCATATAAAGATACCAGAGCATTCTTAATTCTTAATTCATTCCATTATCTTTTAATTAAATTGCCCTCTATTATCATTTTGAGAAGTAGAATTGTGAACTTGTTGAAGCATAGAATTGGGCATCCAGTACTTTTGTCATAATCACTGCATCTTCTTCAGTTCATTTGTCCTTCAGAGCTTTATCTCTTTTGTGCCTTTAATTACCATCTACAACTGCACCCAACTTTGAAACACAGTACTCCTTCCACAGGGCAGCATCAAACAGGGGCATCCGGTGACATCCAAAATATTTTCAGTGAATATTCTAAGTGAGAAACAGAACAGATACACTTTTCTCAATATTAATACCACACACTAAGAATTGTTCCATGTAATTTAATATAAACTATATCATTTTATTGTGTATACAACTGCCTTCACGTGAAAAATGGGGCTAATAATAGAATAGTTAGTCTCTTTAATTCCCACATATGGTTGTTGTTAGGATTCAATGAATTCATGACATAAACTTCATGAACAGACTTAACACATCGCACGTTCTATCAAGTGTCAGCTCTTACTCTTTTTCTTTCAGCTCTCTACTTGGAGGCTTCACAAGAATATCAAAAATAACATATCTAGCTGGGCGTGGTGGCTCAAGTCTGTAATCCCGGCACTTTGAGAGGCTGAGGCACGCGGGTCACGAGGTCAGGAGATTGAGACCACCCTGGCTAACACGGTGAAATCCTGTCTCTACTAAAAATACAAAAAAAATTAGCCAGATGTGGTGGCGGGTGCCTGTAGTCCCAGCTACTATTAAAGCTACTAGGAAAGTTGAGGCAGGAGAATGGCGCGAACCCGGGAGGCGGAGCTTGCAGTGAGTGGAAATCAGGCCACTGCACTCCAGCCTGGGTGAGAGACCAAGACTCCGTCTCAAAAATAAATAAATAAATAAATAAATAAATAAATAAATAAATAATAAAATAAATTAAAGTAACATATCTAAAACTGAATTCATCCTGTTCCCTAGGACTACTTGCCATGCCTCTACTCCCCTAACTTCTCTAACTCAGGAATAACATCATCATATCAAAAATCTGGCTGTAGGGCTATCATGTAATTATTCCTTTCTTGCATTGCCCAGTTGCAAGTCTCAGAGTGGCTATCTCAAAAATATATCTTGACTATTCATTATCTTCACCAAAAGAACCATCTCCTCCAATCTGGACTACTGAAATGCCTTCCTAAGTGCTCTCTTCAATTTCATTCTTCATCATCTCTTACCTTTCTCTTCATAGCAGCCAGAGTAATTTCTACCCATGAAATGGATGAAAGTTGTTTCAATGATACGTCTTTCTCAGATGTTCCAGAACAATCTGGAAAGCGTGTGTGAATTGTACAAAAGCATCCTCATCCATGGAGAGCATTGTAATAAAAAACAAAACAAAACAAAACAAATCTCCGTTTAATAGTTCTTAGAAGCAGCTTTCTTTCATGGCATTGTACCATCAAACCTACCTCCTCTAGAGGGTGATGGGGAAATACAGTAGTTTTGAGAGACAATTTAAACACTAATTACTTCAACCTGTGTCTGTTATAGTGGCTGCTGCATTAATAGAGGCAAATAAGTTGACAGGTGATTGCAAAATACAAGACTATTTTAATATAGTATGTGTTAGGATATTTTACTTCAGTCTACACATAATCATCCCCCATGCCAATTGACTAAGGAGATTCATTTAACACTTCAGAGACTCCACGAAAAAAAAATTGCAGGCACCACATTTTTTAACGTCTTTATGAGAGCTTTCTAAATTAATAATATTATTGTACAAAATGTTCTAGGCAAATATGCATAGAGCAAAATACATTTTCACCTGCCACCATATATTCTGCAGCCTCAACTTTTTTTTTCTTTCTAGAGACAGAGTCTTGCCCTGTCACCCAGGCTGGTGCACTCACAGCTCACTGAAGCCTCTAACTCCTGGGCTCAAGCGATCTTCCAGCCTCCTAAGTAGCTATGACTACAGGTGCATGCCACCATACCCAGCTTACAGTATATTCTTTATGACTAATCCTTTCTACCCAAAGTACTAAAAGAAAAAAAAAAGACAAAAAATGCAAACTGCTCCTCAAATGCTCCTAAGCTTACCTCATCCATCTGTAGCAAAGTGGCTAAAATCACGAGCCGTGGAGATAAATCCTACCTCTACTAGTTACTACCTGTCCAACCATAGGCAAAATTCTCCATTCCTCTAATGTTAAAAGCCTTATCTGTAAAGTGAGAATGAAAAAAAATCATAATATGTATTTCATTAGATTAAGTGGATTAAATAAGTTGATATTTGTAAAGTACTTAGAACATTGCTTAGCACATAGTAAAAAAATATATGTATTTGCTTATTTTTATTCCTGTTGCTATGGTATAAATATTTGTGTCCCTGAAAATCCATGTGTTGAATACTAACATTCAAGCTGATGGTGTTAGGAGATGGGGTCTTTAGGAGGTGGCTAGATAATGAAGACGGAACCCCCATTAGGGGATTAGTGCCCTTATAAAAAAGCGGGGGACACTATTCACCAACTGCAGAGAGCTAGCTAGACCCTTCCACCATGTTAGGTTACAGCAAGAAGATCGGTCCTCATTGGACATCAAGTCCACTTTGATCTTCAAGTTCTCAGCCTCTAGAAACTGTGAGAAGTAATTTTCTGTTATTTATAAGGTACCAAGCTTATGGTATTTTGTTAAAGAATCCTGAATGAACTAAGACACCTATGGTCTTTATTTTTTATGTGTCAATGCCTCTGTGCTAGATGAGGTGATTAATTCTATAGGTTGTGTGTGTGTGTATCTGTTTGTGTGTGCTTACCACTCTCAAATGCTATATTTAGTATAAGCATGCACTAATAAAAGTGACTTGATATGATTTAGTCATAAATAATATTCTCTGAAGCCAGGTTAAATGTAAATATGCATCAATTTTGGTAATTTGAAATCACTTAGTCCTCAATAATATTCACTCATCTTTTTCTTTTCCCTTTCCCCCTTCCTTCCTTCCTTCCTTCCTTCCCTCCCTCCCTTCTTTCTTCCTCTTTCTTTTCATTTCTTTTAGACAGGATCAGTCTCTATCACCCAGGTTGGAGTGCAATAGTACGATCATAGCCCATTGTCACCTCAAACTCTTGAGCTCAAGTGATCCTCCTGCCTAGCCTCATGAGCATATGGGACTACAGGTGTGTGCCACCATACCTGGGTAATTTTTTATGAATATTTTGAGACAAGGTCTTGCAGTGTTGTCCAGGCTGGTCTCAAACTCCTGGACTCAAGCAATCCTCTTACCTCAGCCTCCCAAAGTGCTAAGATTACAGGTGTGAGCCACTGGGCCTGGGCTTTTTTGCTTTTTAACACCTTTGCATGGAGGCTTTGAAGTACTCTTTTAATGATATATATTGGATAATGTATTCTTCCTTAAAACATTAACATTAATTTAGAATATCCAAACTGTATAATATTTCTGCCATGTTTCTTTGCCAACATTTTTTCCATCCTGTGAGGGGGCTCAGGTTTGCTATAAGTCTGAGCTTCTCCTGCTCCTTTATTTTCTCCACTCTTGAGAGAATGGAGAGACGTATCTGGGTGGTAGTGTGGGAAGAATAAGCTGGCATGCTCTTCTCTGCTCACTCCTCTTTTCACCTGCCTCACTGTGGTAGCCTTTCTTTGCTCCAGCCCTTCTTATGGATGGGCTAACAGTGTCTATCATTCTTGGGGTTAGGGTGTGAGCCCATTTGGCTCTCACACTAAGCAGATGTTTTGGCTTCCATGTTTTCCCTAACATTTCCCCATGTTTGTCCAGAATCGGATAACAATGAGGTGCTATTTATTGTGTGTCCCCTAGACATTCTCCAAAATGTTTATGTGACTGTACCCTCTTGCATGTGATTTTTCCTGAAGTGTTGTCTCACTGACCTTCTTTCTGACTTATGCAATAGCCACTATGACTTTTTTTTTTCTTATGCATCTTTCAATTCTGTGAATATATCAAGTTCTTTTTTCATTTTTGGCTTTTACACCTGCTAATGTTTTGCCTTTTTACTCTTCACTTACTTAACACTTACTGATTCTTTAGGTTTCATTTTAAATATCAATTCTTCAGGGAAACCTTCTTGTTTTGTTTTTTTTTTTTTTTTTTTAATTGAGACGGAGTCTGGTTCTGTCGCCCAGGCTGGAGTGCAGTGGGCAGATCTCAGCTCACTGCAAGCTCCGACTCCCGGGTTTACGCCATTCTCCTGTCTCAGCCTCCCGAGTAGCTGGGATTACAGGCGCCCGCCACCTCGCCTGCCTAGTTTTTTGTATTTTTTAGTAGACACGGGGTTTCACCGGGTTAGCCAGGATGGTCTCGATCTCCTGACCTCGTGATCCGCCCGTCTCAGCCTCCCAAAGTGCTGGGATTACAGGCTTGAGCCACCGCGCCCAGCCGAGGGAAACCTTCTAAGTCAGTCTCCTGTTATTCCCTTCCATACCATCTAATCTTTTTCTTCCTATCACTTATTTCTTGAAATATTTTCTGTCTATCTCCATTATCACATTGTAAGGGCCATGAAAGCAAAGAGTGCTCTCTGTTGGCTTGACCAGTGATTTTTTTTTTTTTGCATCATGCATAGTGCCTTGCACATAACAGGAAGTCAATAAATATTTGTTGAATCCATGAATGACTTCTTTCTTAATTTACTTGAACAACCACAAATTCAACATATACTATCGTGCAAATAAGTCATTTTGGTATGTTAGTTATGTGCTCCTGTCCTCTGGAAAACTGTTTTCCAATAGAGCCAGTAGCAGCCCAGCTTGAAGCTATCAGAAAGTCGTCTTCTCCTTCTCCTAACTTGGGGAATTTCCATGCTTTATTTGACAAATAATAACCAGCAAATTGCACATCAATAAAGAACCACTTATTAAAAGAATGAGCAATTTAACCCAAAAATATCTCAAAAAGAGACTTCTATGCTAGATTTTATAACCACATGTAAATCACAGCAGTATATGGGAAAATACTTAGATCATTATATTTCATTTATTCTGCATAGTTTGTCTTTCCAACAATATGGAAAAATTCTAGGAGGCAATAGTCCTAATTTCATCTCTGTATTCTTTAATTGCTTAGTATTAGTTGGTCAATTTGTAGGTATTCCATAAACACACGTTGACTTTACTGTTGAGTACTGAAAAGTAAAATAAGGATGTTCTCATTACTTATGAACTCAAATGTGAAGAGGAGTACAGAGCCTCATATTTTAACTTCAGGAAAAATACTCAGCCACTTTCCCAACCCCCATAAAAATATAAAAAAAAGAAAGATGCCTCACAAAATAAGTGGGATCCTAGATAATTTACTCATTGGTATAGCACAAGCTCATCTTCCAGAACCTGTAATGACATTTGTTTTTTTATTTAAAGGATAAGAATACAGCAGTGTTTCACCGGGTTAGCCAGGATGGTCTCGATCTGCTGACCTCGTGATCCGCCCGTCTCGGCCTCCCAAAGTGCTGGGATTACAGGCTTGAGCCACCGCGCCCGGCCCACTAAAAAATACAAAAAACTAGCCAGGCGAGGTGGCGGGCGCCTGTAGTCCCAGCTACTGGGGAGGCTGAGGCAGGAGAATGGCGTAAACCCGGGAGGCGGAGCTTGCAGTGAGCTGAGATCCGGCCACTGCACTCCAGCCTGGGCGACAGAGCGAGACTCCGTCTCAAAAAAAAAAAAAAAAAAAAAAGAATACAGCAGTGTTCATGTTATCACTAGGGTCATAATTACTGTTGCAAAAAGCAGCTCCTGTTCCTGTAGTTGTTTTAAATTGGGGATTTAGAGGTGTAGGAAGAAATTATAGATTATTATTCTTTGCTTCTTAAGTGATGCACGCTTTATATACAACTGAAATGATTAATAGAAATTCAATCTTCAAGTTATTGTGACATATTTTAGGAAACCAGCAGTAATTATTTCCTATCTAATTTTTATAATCATTAGTAATCAGGTAAGAGTTTATCTTGTTTTGAAAATTAAATTGTATTAAGCTTATAAATAACATTACAACAAAGAAAAATAAAGCAATTTTCTTATTACTAAATCAAAAACATTATCTAATTTTTTTAACTGGAAGTTTTCTTTGATGAATGAATATGCAGATGGCATACAAACATATGAAAGGATGGATATATAGACAAATATATGAATAAGCACCTGATATGTTTTGGCTCTGTGTCCCCACCCAAATCACACCTTGAATTGTAATAATCCCTACGTGTCATGGAATGGACCCTGTGGGAGGTAACTGAATCATGCAGGTGGGTTTTTCTAGGGCTGATCTTGTGACAGTGAATAAGTCTCATGGTATCTGATGGTTTAATAAAGAGGAGTTCCTCTGCACATGCTCCCTCTTGCCTGCCGCCATGTAAGACATCCGTTTGCTCTTCCTTTATCTTCTGCCATGATTATAAGGCCTCTCCAGCCATGTAGAACTGTGAGTCCATTAAACCTCTTTTCTTTATAAATTATGCAGTCTTGAGTATGTCTTGATAATATTCTTAATAATATTCTCATCTGTATGTAACATAATTGAACTTATGCACCTTTCCTTGATTGATATGTATATCAATCTATTCATATATATATAGTATTGACATATATATAAAGCATATAACTTTAATTCATCTTAATAATCATGTATCACCTATTATTCTAGGTACTGCACTACAAGGAACACAAGTATGAAAAAGAATTCTATGAGATCCAGGGGCTCATATTCTAGCATAATGGAGGCCATATTTACAGAGACTAAGTTAAACTCCATAGATTTTCCACAAACAAAGTTTAACAATTTTTAAGGAAATACTATTAAAGGATATACATAGCACTCCAGGTTGTCTATGCTTCTACCCATTGAAACAACTCACTGTCCAGTAGCAGATGAGTTTTAATGAAATACCTGAGCAATTTGAGGAAATGCTTTTTCTTTATCGGATATAATCCACAACAAATCACAAAAGGGTACTTTTTAATAGTGTTTTCAGGGAACAGGTCTACCCCTACCCTTAGGCTGACAATAATGCTTTAAGCTCTTCCTATATACATCTGCACACTTACGAGGAAAGAATTTAGCTTATAACATTTTAAACCTCATTAATTAGGATGCCACCATTACAAGGGTGATGGCATTCATATAATGCCTAGGCTGCAGTTTCCATCTAAGTAAAGTAATGGTAGTAAGTGAACATATACTGTCCAAGATAATAATGAACATGTTTTGTTGGGTTGTTGATTATACTAAACATAAATACAAAAATGATTAGGACTTCCTAAGGGAGTCCCTCAGTTATTCCGATATTATTCTACTCATTCCCTTACCTTGGCTAGTATATTTTTAAAACAAGCAATAAGGAGAAGATGAAAGAATCAACAATTTGTACCACATTGAGACGTGGAATCCTTGGCCTATATTACTTTTACACTCATGGAAGATGGTGCAACATAATGGAAGGGGCATGGACTTGGGCCACAGGAAGAACTTGGTTCAAATTCTGGTCCTGACATTTCTAGTAGGGTTGCCCTACTTTTTAATCAGTAAAATTGGACTAAAGCCTATCTAAGGATTAGTACAAATGTGAAATAAATGATGGATGTAAAGAGCCTACCACAGTAGTTGGCACATAATAGGTGTTCAAAAATTGTTAAATGACTCTTACATTGTATCTGTTACAGAGGTAAAATTCAATGGATAGAACAGAAGCCATTGACAATGCCTTGAAAAACTCAACTATGTCAGATTTAAAAACTGATTTGTATAATCACAAAAAGGAAAAGTAGGACAATCACATTACATATTGTATAATCAGACTTTGCAAATTCAATCTGAATTTCTTTCTAATTAGTCAAAATTAGTGAGGTATGGTTGTTGCATCTCTTAGCTACTGTACCACAGGGTCTGGTCATCACCTGCTTCTATTTATGTTTGCTGTTCCCGTAAGGAATCCTCTTAGGTACAAGTACCATCAATAGTAGCTGGAACATTGCCTAAATGAAAAATTTTATTTATTCCTTACTTCCTGAAGGAACTGCCACGGGGTCAGTCCTAATCAGCACTTCATTTTAATACATTATCATCGAGTTCTAAGGATTAATTTTATAAATGATTAATGAAAGTACTTAATTGAATGTCACTCTCTGCTGCCTCCAGCTATTACAGGTTGTTGCTTTCACTGATTCCAGATCGATGCTTTTTTAAACACTCAGCTTTGCAGTATTTTAAACTAGGTCTTCACTTAGAGACTCACCTGTGGCTCAAATAAAACAATCTGAGGTTTGAGTTATTGCTGCTGTTGTTTTTGGAATGATTGTACAATGCGTGACCAGCGACAATTCATGTTTGCTTTCCTCCATAGAAACAGAAACTTGGCCCAGGCGTGGTGGCTCACGCCTGTAATCCCAGCACCTTGGGAGGCCCATGCGGGTGGATCACGAGGTCAGGATTTTGAGACCAGCCTGGCCAATGTGGTGAAACCTCGTCTCTACCAAAATTACAAAAATTAGCTGGGCGTGGTGGCGGGCGCCTGTAGTAGGTTGAGGCAGGAGACTTGCTTAAACCTGGGAGGTGGAGGTTGCAGTGAGCCGAGAACGCGCGACACTGCACTCCAGTCTGGGCGACAGAGTAAGACTCCATCAGAAGAAAGGAACGAAGGAAGGAAGGAAGGAAGGAAGGAAGGAAGGAAGGAAGGAAGGAAGGAAGGAAGGAAGGAAGGAAGGAGGGAGGGAGGGAGGGAGGGAAGGAAGGAGAGAGAGAGAAAGGAAAGAAAGAAGAGAGAGAGAAAGAAGAAAGAAAGAAGAAAAGAAAGAGAAAGAAAGAAAGAAGGAAAGAAAGAAGAAAGAAAGAAAGAGAAAGAAAGAAAAAGAGAGAGAAAGAAAGAAAAGAAAGAAAGAGAAAGAAAAAGAGGAAAAAGAAAGAGAGAGAAAGAAAGAAAGGAAAGAAAGAAAGAAAGAAAGAAAGAAAGAAAGAAAGAAAGAAAGAAAGAAAGAAAGAAAGAAAGAAAGAAAGAAAGAAAGACTCACTCAATTTTGGGGGGCGTGGCAAACACTCCAGCTAAGCTGCAAGTTCTTGCACCCTTACAAGTGGTCATGTGGCATGGCTTTCGGCCAATGAAAAGCCTGCCTAGAATTTCTGCAAAAGTTGTGCTGTCCTTTTACAGGTTTTGCTCCTTCCTCCATATTGCTTCTGTTCTTTCCTCCTGCCCAGAGCATGAAGGAAGATACAGAGCAGCAGCTCTTTTTGGATTAGAAGAATGAAGACTAAGGAGACTGGAATCGAATAAAGATTAATTCAGCAGTTACCATAACAGGTAGCAGCATGGATTTGGCCCACAGTCATTGTTTGCTGACCCCTACTATAGACAAATGGATTAAGTTCAGCTCAGAATCAAGACAGAATGGGAAGGGAAATGATAATACAAACTGTGTAACTGCAGAGGAGGAGAAAGTGTACAGAATACGTTAAGATCACCGGTGTCCACAGCTAACTCGGTGATGGAATATCAAGTACCAAGGATATGTACAAGTTCCAGAGAGTGGTTGAAGCTCACTTCCTCACGTTAAGGTAAGTTCAGGAACTGGAAAGGTTCACACCACAGCTGAGATAATTCAGTTTTGAGGTAAGAGGATGAGCTGGAGCTGAAACTAATGGAATGTGCTATAAAATTGTATAGAAATCAATCTTGGTTTTTTTAAAATCTTCTTTTTCTTCAAAGAGGGTTTGTTGTAATAAAATATTCTCAGACCTCCTTCTATGCTTGTTACACTTTTTAAGACACCCTGGATGGTAGTAAATCCTTGGATTCCATTTCAGGATATAAGCAGAAAGAGTTGGGAAGAGACCATGAAATCTCTCAAGAGAGAATGTCAAGAGAGGCATTATCGTCAACATTATGGTCTCTCTTGCATGATTTCAGGTGTTATGAGAAAAAATACAAGTGTACTATTGCTTTGTGAATGAGAGGCCATCTGGCCTTTCTTAATATTAAATACATCATGGCATGTCTTGAAAACTTAAGCTTTGATCATGTTCAGTGAATGGAGAGGACTGAACATTTGATCAATCTAATGAGCTGAAACACAATTCGCAAGGAACTCTGAAGACTTTTCACTCTGTCATCATTCCACTATGTGGTAAATAATAGCTAGCACATATTGATCACTTATTAGGCATCAGGCACTTTGTAGTGCGCTGTATACAGTCTACAGTTGAGCTCATCTAATCTTCCAAACTGCAGTATAAGGTGTCATGACCATGCTAATTTTTCAGACAGTCTTATAGGGAAAGGGCAAGTTTCTTAACCTCAATTTGTATGAATCACTAAGATATTTCAATGAATATTCCGAAGCCAATGTGCTTCTCCTTATAGTTTTTGGTGAAAAAAATCTGCTGTCAAATACAAAATGTACTTTTGTCTCCTAGTACTTTTGTCTTCTAGGTTATACAGCTGTAACTACAGTCTTGAGCCCTACACAAACCTGAAATTGAGAGTAAATAAATGTCCCAAACATGACTGTATTTTTCTTTAAAACATTTTATTTACAATTCAGTTTGGTGAGTAGTTGTCTTTAAAGTTTTTATTATTTAAATATTTGCTTTTCTTTCTATTTTGTCATATATCAATACTTAGGAAAGTACAGTCTAAATGAATGCATATAACTTATCACAATAATTTTTAAGATACCAGCAAAAATTTGGTAAAAATTGGGCAAATAATTGTTGATATATTAATGCACAAGGGAGGCAGTACATAGACCATGAGAGCTCTCAGTTCTTTGTAAGTGTCTTAAAAGCTACATAGGACTCATTGTTTAAGCTAATTCTAGATCATTGGATAAGGAGTTATCAAAAGCTTCCAAGTACCACAATAAAATAAGTATACTAATTTATTTGTTTATTCATTCAGTAAATATTTATTGATACTTTTTAAGGATCAGACTAAACAAGATGGAACAAGTCCTGGTTTTCTCAGCACTTGCACATCAACAGACAGCTATGTCCATGATCAGTAAGTTGAGGATGGCAGGACAGATCACCAGAGCATAAGCAAAGGTATGAGCTACACTCACAGCTAAGACACTGAGCTATCTGCCCTGGGTCTAAGCAAAGGCCACAGCGGTGGTTTTCCAGAAGCTCCAAGGTAGGTGCATGTATATCCAGAGCCAATGTTCACAGCTTGGAACTGTAATCTTTAAAAGCTAAGTTGAGGGCTCCAGTCAAAACATTCCTCTCCCAATAAAAACCGTGACAACTGGTAGAAGGAAAAGCCTGGCTATTTGGTTTTGAGGGAGTCAGGAGCACTAACCTGCTCTTTCAGCTTGCAATTCTAGGCTTCCAAGTGAAAACCAACCTGCTTATCTTGCCTCATCTAGAATTAGAGGGGTGAGAAAGGAAATTGGGAAGTAGTTTTGAAAGCTGCAGTGCCTTCCTTCCTTTCTCTCTTTCTCTTTCTCTCTCTCTCTCCTTCCCTTCTTTCCTTCCTTCCTTCCTTCCTTCCTTCCTTCCTTCCTTCCTTCCTTCCTTCCTTCCTTCCTTCCTTCCTTCTTTCCTTCCTTTCTTTTCTTCCTTCCCTCCCTCTTTCCTTCCTTTTCTTTCTTTCTTAACAGTCTCTCTCTGTTGCCCAGGCTGGAGTGCAGTGGCACAATCATGGCTCACTGCGACCTCTACCTCCCAGGTTTAAACGATTCTCCTGCCTCAACCTCCTGAGTAGCTGGGATTACAGGTGCTGGCCACCATGCCTGGCTAATTTTTGTATTTTTTAGTAGAGATGGGGTTTCACCATGTTGACCAGGCTGGTCTGACCTCAAATGACCCACCCACCTGGGCCTCCCAAAGCGCTGGGATTACAGGCGTGAGTCACCGCACCTGGCCTAAAGCTGCAGTTTCTTTAACTTGTTATTTATTATAATGTCAGGAAAGGGCAAGAATCTTGAATCTGAAGTAATAATGATGACAACGGGGTTGAAAAAAGTAAAAAGTTATTGTCTGGAGGTAAGATTATTATTTTTTTATCCTAGTATTTTAAATATATTATTTTATTCTATTTTAGGTGTTAAATACATGAAGTAGTTAATTGTCAGCAATAATATAATGTATAAGTCAAACTACAAGAAAATCTTATGCTTTCAAGCCTTGATGTAGAAAATAATTATATGAGGTAAGTTAGGAATGAGGTGGGTAGGAAATTGAGGGTGTCTTGCTATTTTTAGCAACTCTCAGAGTGTTTGGTACATGATACATATTTTCTGAATATTTTCAGAAAATCATTTCTAATGTGTTGGTATACTTTGAGTCTTGGCACACTTAACTGCAAAACAAGGTTTTGCATGAAAACACACCTGGGATTACAGGTGTTGGCCACCATGCCTGGCTAATTTTTGTATTTTTTTAGTAGAGATGGGGTTTTGCCAGTTGCTGTGATAAAGGAATATGTATATATAAATGCAGAGATATAATGAGACAGATGCACATTTACATTTTAAAAATTAGGTTTTCTTCGCTGCAAAAATATATGGAGTTCTTCTGAGGTTAATAATGATTACATAAGACCAACGATAAAACCGCATTTCTTTGTTATGAAGCCTAAAATATTAGGTGTGTTTTCATGCAATTACATTTTTAAAACAGTTCTGTGTAATCATCTTATTTTGTAGTGATGTTCACAAACATACTTAATAGTAGATACGTTTTTATTACAACAAAATATTACTTTAATAAAAACACCAAGTTATTTCAAAATGCACAGGAAAAGTTTCTCTCCATTGTTGTGCATGCTGAAAGACCACAGTGGGAAGCACACAGGTGGGGGGAAATCTGAGAAATGTGAGCTGTAATACCACACACAACAGCATTCTGCTCTCACAAGTCAGTGCTTTCCCCACCGAAATTTTATTTCAATAATTAATATAAACTTTTTTCGTCTGAAGTGTCTCTAAATCAGAGAAGGTTAAAATCAATGTGTATGTATGAACTTGCTGACAAGCTAGTGTAGCCACTACTTGCCTTTAGGTTTTTATCATTTTCCCAGTGGCTGATGGGCAGGCAGCAATATTAAGCCTGCTGACTAACTGAAACATATTCTAAATTATATGGACCTCTGGAGGGGATGCATTCTACTTAACCTTGGCATTTGTTTTAAATTACAGGAATCTACCATATTATATCATCCAAAATTTATACAAATAGCTTTTATTCCTTTTCTAAATTTCATCTCAAGGTTGTTAGAGTCAAATTTAGATGACACCAAAATGTGGTACAGAACCAATAGCTTGTGTAGCCTGAAGACTGGATGACTTATTCTATCCCATTTTAGACCATTTCCAACTGTTATTTCCAACACAAATTAAATAAGCCACATGAAGCTATCATGATCAAGAATATCTTTCTGGAAAATAGCCATGTTGATTTTAAACTAACAGAAATT